CGGGGAGCAGCAGCAGCAGCAGCTGCCGTCTCTTGCTGCGGATTTGAGCTGTATATACACCCTAAATAGACTAGCAGCAGCAGCAAAAAGAAACAACCTGAGGTGAGCAAAGAACGAGGGTTTAGATAGCTATCTAGGGTTTAGGGTCTAGGGTTTAGGGTTTAGGGTTTAGGGTCTAGGGTTTAGGGTTTAGGGTTTAGGGTTTGTGTGTGCAGGCTGCTACTCGTCGACCCCACAGAGCCGCAAACAGCACAGCAGCAGATACTTGAGGCGCTGAATCTAGGGTTTAGGGTTTAGGGTTTAGGGTTTAGGGTTTAGAACCCCTGCTGCAGTTGTTGCTGCAGCTGCTTCGGTAGTTGCTGGTGCAGCAGCAGCAGCAGCAGAACGCGCAGCAGCAGCAGCAGCAGCAGCTGCTGCTGCTGCTGCAGCTGCGGCAGACACTCCTAACTTACTGCTCCTTCTGCAGCACCTGCTGCTGCTGCTGGAGCAGCAGCAGCAGCAGCAGAAGGTGCAGCAGCAGCAGCTGCTGCTGCTGCAGCAATTTGGCTGAATCTGTTTTAATTGATCTTAATTTTTAGGATTGGGGTTTCTTTGTCTTTATTTTTTTTTATTTTTTTTTTTGTTTCTCTTTTTTTGTTTGTTTGTATTCGCTTGTTTTTTTTTTAGTTTAATCATTTTGTTTGTTTGTTTGTCTCTGGCTGTATTTGTTTGTTTTTTATATTTTTGTTTTTCTTTGTTTATTTTTGTGTTTATTTATATTCGTTTCTCTGTTTGTCTCTCTCTGTTTGCTTTTTATATTTGTTTGCTTTTGTTTGTGTTTGTCTATCTCTGTTTATCTTTTTTTGTTTCTCTATCACTTTGTTTATTTTTGTTTTTTATTTCTTAGGGTTTTATTTGCGTAGGATTGCATACACCAAAACAATTTTTTCCGCTTGAGGGTTTAGGGTTTAGGGTTTAGGGTTTAGGGCCGAGGGTTTAGGGTTTAGGGCTTAGGGCTGAGGGTTTAGGGTCTAGGGTTTAGTATCCTCGCCTGAATGCATTGCAAGTAAAGGACGAAACAATGAATATATATAATTAAAAAAAACAAAAAAAAATAAAAAAATAAATATAAATAAATAAATAAATAAATAAATATAAAATTAATATAATAAAATCAGCGGCTCCTATCGACGGGCGCTACTGCAACCGATGCCAGTTGGGGTGTATAGGCAGCTGAAGCGGGGTAAACTGAATTTTTTTTGCGGAAAAAAATAAAAATAAAATAAAATAAATAAATAAAAATAAAAAATAAATTGAAATATATTTTATTCAATGCAAATAAACAGCTCAAGAAGCGCAGAAGAAATACAGAGGAGAACGAGTGCATCTGTAGCCCGGGTGTACATACACCTGGGTGTGGGGGGGTCTATTTTCGCTGCTTTTTCTCGCAATAAAAGAAAATATATTTCTTAAAGCATTTAAAATATAAATTTAGGAATTTTAATCAAAAAAAAACGAAAAAAAAAGCAAAAAAACAAAAAAAACTGCAGCCGCAGTACACCCGCCTGCAAGCCCACCGGACCAATGGTCATGTGGCTAGAGGTGCCTATACACCCGAGCTGAGGAGCTCGATATTTTGCTTTCATCATTAAAATACAAAAAAAAGGAGAAAATATTAAATAAAAATAAAAAATAAAGTGAATTTTCAAACCAAAAACAACAAAATATGGCTGAATCGATCGAGGGGTTAATATACAGCTCTGCACCGCTCTGGCGTGCGGCTCTGCTGCTGCTATTCTTTTTTTTTTTCCTAGCTGAAACGGAGTAAATTAAAATAATTAAATGATTAAAAATATATTATTTATCTCTATAAAGAGAAAATAAACAAAAAAAAGATTAGTAACAGCAACAAAATAAACCCCTTCATGCTGCTGCTGCTGCACTGAGCGCCGATGCAGCAGCAGCAGCAGCAACAGCAGCAGCAGCAGCAGCAGCAACGCTAGCTGCTGCTTGCAGCTTTCGGGTTTGTTTTTTCTTCTTTTGTGTTTCATATTTTGTTGATTTCCCTCCGAGTTGTTATTAAACTCTTCTTTTCTTTATTATACGCCATATACCCCCGCCAAACCCTTATTTCCTCATCCTAAACCCTAAACCCTAAACCCTAAACCCTAAACCCTTCTCTCAAACACTCCAACAATGAGGATCGACCAAGCCCCAGTTGTGGCTTCGGCCTTTTTGTTTCTTTTTCAATTATCAGCGGACGGTAAGATAAACCCTAATCCCGAGGGTTTAGGGTTTAGGGTTTAGGGTTTAGGGTATCTGCACAGTGGCTAGCCTAGCATCTCCAACTGGTTTGCAGCCACGTGCTTACCCAGCTGCTGCACCGAACCTTTAGGGTTTAGGGTTTAGGGTTTAGGGTTTAGGGTTTAGGGTTTAGGGTTTAGGGTTTGTGTTGCAGCTATAAAGATAAGCAACGGCCCCCAAGCAGAGGCGCTGCTTCCTTCTTCTCTCGCGGAGCTGAAGACGGAGGCAGAAGCCCTCCAGAGCATTGAGCATGCATGTGAGGGTTTAGGGTTTAGGGTTTAGGGTTTAGGGTTTAGGGTTTTGCGTGCGTCTGGCTGCTGCCGACTCTCCCTTGTGTTCTGCTCACTGCTTTCCGCTGCTATCGCTCACCGATCAGGGTTTAGGGTTTAGGGTTTAGGGTTTAGGGTTTAGTCTCTGTCTGTGTCTCTCCTCCTCTTTTCTGTCTATATATACCCCCCTCCCCCTCTCCATATATATATATATATATATATATATATATATATATATATA